TGTGTGTGTGTGTGTGTGTGTGGTTGGAGGATGCCAGTCGTAGGTCCTGCCCTTTACTTCATTTTGCTCTTTCTGTCTGTATGTCTTACTTTTTTCTCAGCACTAAATGACCATAGTTGCGTCGATGTGCTTCTCTTTACTCAAACAAACAAATAAAACATATATTATATGACTAATGTTATTGGAAACAAATCGTTTACGATGGGGAGGCTGGGGGGGACGCTATGGATCAGAAAGAAGAAGAGTGATAATGCTTGTGCGTGCGTTTGTGTTTTTATGGTGTGTTCTTTTTTCTGTGATTGTCTTATTCGAGGTGCGGTGGCGAGTGCTCAGAGGCCGCCACTGGTCGATCCTACTTCTTTTCTTTCACTCTGTCTTGAGCTGTCTTGCTTTCCCCCAGCACTAAATGACCGTTATTGTATCATTGTTCTTCTCTTTACTCAAACAAACAAACGAGATGGGGTGGGGGTCGGTGTGGACATTCGCTCGTAAATGGTAAAAGAGAATAACTGTGTGGCTTAGCAAAGCAAGACAAGCCATCCCATCTCACAGCACAGCGGGTGGTAATGCTCCAAGTCCCAGAAAGTGGCCGGGCCCGCCTGCGCTCACGGTAAATAATGTGTCGATTGCGAGCGCTTTGAAATTCCTTGTGATCTCAAGTTGCTGCTATTGCTGTTGTTGTGAATGTTGTTGTTGTTGTTTTGTTGTTGTTGTTGTTGTATTTGTGGGGTACCGGTATTTTTGTTGTTGTTCTTGTTTTTTTGGGGGGTGGGGGTGTTTTTTGGGGGGATAGGGTTCGACTGGGGTTCTTTTTTGTGCTTGGCTTTTATTCGATTTTTGTTTTTTCCCCCGGGGGGTGGAGAGGTTGTCTCCAAATTGGATAGGCTATTGATCTTATTTCTTCGGATTATTTTGTTTCTGTTGTTGTTTTGTTTTGTTTCGGTTGTTGTTGTTTTTTTGCCCTGGTTGAATGGTCGGAGAATAGTGTTTGTTGTTTACATGGGACATGTGTTTGTGTGAGGTGGGGGGGGGATGTTGTTGTTGTTGTTGTTGTTGTTGTTGTTGTTGTTGTTGTTGTTGTTGTTG